AGGAAAAATGCCATTTATTTCTAAATTATGATTATTTTTTATCTAAAAAACATACTAACATTATAAGGGTAACCCAGGAAACATTATAAAATAAATAAAATAAAAACATTCTAGGGCACCTTTAATGAGTAACGGGTGTGTTTTGGGCGTAACGTGCAATAAACCAATCAGAGTCTCTTCTCTCATTCCCTTTAAAGGCCAGCTGCGCTCGCGCCGGCGGATTCGCTATTCACATAAAGGCATTTGATAATGGAAAAACTGAACGTGTCTCCAGAGCGCAAACGGATCTGCTCGTGTTGGGCATTTTAATGGGATTGACTCTCGTTTGCAGGCTGTCTCTAGTGGCCAGTCGATGAATTGCAGTTAAAGTCACTTCAGTGTTGGACTCGAGAGAGAGACCGGAAGGTTGCCGCTTGGACAGAACGCTTTCTAGCCCTGATATATTATGATGAAAGTCGTACCTGTAGAAGAAGTCTCTCGTCCCCAATGACGGCAGCCGTACGCCAGTCGATGATCTCTGAGAAGGGAAGCTCCCAGCCGTTACTGAGCATGACGGGTACACAAGCGGCCTACACACACACACACACACACACACACACAGAGAGAGAGAGAGAGAGAGAGAGAGAGAGAGAGAGAGAGAGAGAGAGAGAGAGAGAGAGAGAGAGAGAGAGAGAGAGAGAGAGAGAGAGTTAAAACAGGCTGAAGTAAAATAAAGCAAGCGTCATGAAACTTTTATTAGCTTCTTCGAGTGGAAAGTCTGAAACCCAGAGAAGCTCTGCCTGAAGAATCGCGTGTGTTTATCAGATCCGTCGTGTTTCTGAGCTTGGAGAAATCTGGCAGCGACGGAGCGAAACACAGCGTGACTCTGCCTGTCTGAACCGAAGCCTCTCGGGTCACAACAATCAGAGAGGACGTGAGATAATCATCAAGGATACAGATACTGCTACACGAAGGCTGCGAGACAGTCGAATTGTCGAAATATAAAAATACATGTTATATATATTTATAAATAAATTGTAGGCTATATATACATATATATATTCAATTTATAACATATATGTTTGTAGTATAAAATATTTTTTATAAATATTATATAAGAAATACATACGGTAATACACATATATATATATATAACATTTATGTTTATAATAACATTTATTGTTACTGTGCAACAGGGGAAATATCTATATATTTTGTATATAATTGTTATTATATAAAATGTTATTTATATATAATATTGTATTTTTTAGATTATATGCATTATATATATATATATATATATATATATATATATATATATATATATATATAAATAAATGTTTTTATTTTTATTTCAGTTAGTAATTTTAGTATATATATATATATATATATATATATATATATATATATACAGTATATATATATATATATATATATATATATATACGGAAATAAGTTTAACTAAGATTACTAACAAACAAAAATTAAATAAATAAATTATAAATAAATAAAAAAAGAACATAACAAAATTACTAAAACTACATTTACAATGAAAATGAAAATATAAAAAAAAAATTCTACATTTAATCAAAACTACATATAAATTATATAAATAATACTAAAATAACCACGTCCAATAGTATGTTTTTTGGACATGTACCATAGAATATAAAAATGGTAATAATTCAGTACTCTGGTTTATATTCAGAGTATTATCTGATCTCATCGCTGCACCACAACATAACTTTATTCTCAGACAATAAGACAAAATCCACCGTTTCCCAGCATAACTGCGTGTGTATTTTTGCACAGGCCTGTTGTCCTGTCCTTAATCCGTTAATCTGCTCCTCATCTGACCTCCCTTCATCTCTAATATCATCCTGCTGTTATGGACTAATCCTTGCAGTGTCATTAACCAGCCCTTCAATCTGCTGAAATACATACAGACCAATACCGGCCTGAGAGCTAAAGCCGGCGTGAGCTCCGACACACACACACACACACACACACGTGCATCAAAACCCTCCGCCAGGCAACCCTAAACTCCCACACAATTCAAAACACAATATATAATGGCCTGTTAAGCCTCATATCTGCACAACGCCAGACAACCTGAAAGAGCACAGCCACACAATAGCTATTACACAGGCATGAGCTTCACAATAGTGCAGGTTACGGCTAAAGGTGTATTTTTTTCTCTCTCTCGTTTTGGCCTTCGGTCCACACTGAGGCCCCATCCACACTACTGCGTTTTAGTTTAGAAACGAAGAATTAAAACGAATACGATCTCCGTCCACACCAGCGTTTTAGCTGTGTATTAGAATTGATCTCCGTCCACATTAAACCGACTGAAAACGCGGATCACGTGACCATTCACCAACACTGGGCATGCGCGCGCCGGTGTAAACAGGACACAGATCGACTATTCCCCAGATTTGACGAAGAAGAAAGTTATCTCTGCACAGAGCGACGCTCCATGTACGGTCGATATCGCCGCTACACACGGGAATTGTCACAGATCGCTCGAATAATAGCTTGCCTCTGGCGCATGTCGGCAGTTATAGCGATGTAAAATGGAGAATTTACTTGCACAACATCTGCTAGCAAAGACAGTCAGTAACGCTTGTAATTCGTTATCCATGTTGTAGTCACTAACGTAACTGGTAGTCCAGGCTGTTGTTGTATGTTTTCTTCCGGGGACGGGTCATGTGATGGGTGGCTGACGAATCAGGGAAGGATACGCCATGACTGATGACACCCAATCAGAGAGCCGAACGTGAGCCTCTACTACGTCATCGTTTCTAAAGTCCTCCGTTTTGACCCGTCTTCACTAAACGCCCTCCAGAGATTCAAAACGCAAAACGGGGTCGGCAGCGTTTCTAAACTTCTCCGTTTTAGTTCTTCGTTTTTGCCGTTTTAGTCTGGACGGGAGGTGCAAACGTAGCAAAAGGTCCCAATTTTTCTAAACTAAAACGTAGTAGTGTGTGGATGGGGCCTGAGGGTACGTTTACACGACAACGATATGCTTGAAACGGAGGAGTTTTCCGCGTACACACGACACCACTGTCGAAACGATCCCCATTCACACTGATCCGTGAAAACTACTAAAAACGCTGTATTCTGCTGCCAGGCCACTAGATGGCGATGAAACACTATAGACTGAACACGTATACGCATGTGCATGACGTCATCGTCTTCAGAGATTGTGTTTTTGTTGTTTACGCGGACACCGTTTTCCAAAACGTGCACTTTGAACCCCGTTTTCAAAAGTTTGCGTTTTAATGCACCCGAAACGCCATTGTCGTGTAAACGAACGGCGAACGGTTTTTAGTTGAGTGTAAACAGGCCCTAAAGGCGCTTGCACACTGAGTCCGAAATTTTCGTATGCGTTTTTTCGTATTCGTGATTCGGTGGCTCTGATTTGTCAAAACGTCATTCAAACTGCTTGCTGAAAAACGCAGAAAATCGAACCCGATCCGATTTTTTTATGACGGACGAAAGTTTCGGAGGCAGTGTAAGTGTAAGTGTGGTGTGCAGGCGTGATTGACATAACGTGAGGTTGTATTTATTTTTTTACGTGCGAAAATTTCTGACGCGAATTTCGGACTCTTTCGGATATTTTGCTAAATAAAATGATCCTGCCAGAAGAATTGCGCGATAACTTTATTATTTATGTATTTGTCCGTCTGTATCTCAGTGAGCTTTGGTGAGGGTTTACGCATGCGCAGTAAAGGTGATTTTAGCGTTTTTAGGCATTTTTCAAAAGTTTCTCCTCCACACGAAACACTAGTGGACGGAGAGCGTATATAAACAAAAACGCCGTTTTCAAATGTATCCGGATGGATGTAGACGAAGCCTTAACCCCTGAAGTGTCACTGGCCCTTTACATTTTTAAAACAGTAATATCCTATACTAAACCTAAACTAATCTTGACAAGCTATATATCATTTGAAAGCTTACAATCTCTAGTTTCCATATTTGGTGACTGATGTTCAAAATAAATTACAGAGGAGCCGTAATTTATCAATTTGCAACAAGAATATTTTCATACTCCTAAGGCGTGTTCAGACCTTTATTTTGAAATAGCAATGATCATGAAAAATCATGAAAGAAGGGTAGAAACCTCAGTTTGTTTTCATGCCAAGAGTTCAAAAGATAGCATCCATTCAATTATTTTAGAAAAAAAGGTCTGAAAATGTTATAAATATAAAGAAAACAATTATAGATTCACCATTTGTGAGGTGGCAGCGAGCTATAACGCACATGCATGTTATTTTTATGTGTTTCTTAGAGGTTGAATTCATATCAAAATCTGCCAAACTTCTAAATAGGATGTCTACTTGATAATTCGTATGAAAAGTGTGGAAATATTGGTTCATATCACTCAAAACACATATGGAAATGGCGGCCCCTTATATAATGGGCAGTAATGGAGTCTGGTTGTGCCCTAGTGGAAGCGTTCGGTACTGCGCCCAAACACACTCTCACTGAAAGCTCATTTACTGAGATATCAACCTAAAATTTGAAACACTTGTTCGGATTTTTGGCTTTGATTTTTTTTGTGCAGTTTTAGAGTCGCCCAGGTTTTGAAAAAATATATTTTATATAAAATATGAATAATTAATTTTTTTACATTGTACATTTTCATAAACCTTTTTTTTTTTTTTTTTTTACTTTCTTAATGTATTTCACTTATACAAAAAACTGCCAAATGTCTTCTTTAAAACAAGACCAATCTTATGTCTCTATATTCCAACGCATTCTTGAATTACAACCATTTAAGTTCGGAATGTGCATTTTCATGTCTACTCAAAAAAGGGGGGGTGACACTTAAAGGGTTAAACTAGTATCTCAATAGGAAGAAACTGTCATTTTTATAATAAAAACTGCAATATTCCATTAAAAAAAAAAAAAACAGTGAGTATACCTGCAGAGCCTCCAGGAACCGGAAAGAGCCCAGGCGGCGTCCTCTCGGCACGAGACAAAACGTGGAGTTATGCAGCATTTCTTTATAGTCGTACCTGACGAGGAAAAGGAGGAAGAGTATATTAAGAACCGTCCTGAAAACATCCTGGCACGAGAAAACAGGAGGTGCACATCCTATTCACATGGAAAATCAGTTAGTGCTCATCACATCTCACACAGATGGCCTGAAAGCACACATCCACTGTAAAAAAACACACATATTTTCCAGTTTAAGGGCCGTTATGAATCCCAAATACTGAGAAATGTGAAAAACTACATAAAACCAACAGAAATGAGTCAAACACAGATGAGCAACACTGCTGAGATGTGAAGGGTTTGTGAGTTTTCCTGCATGTATTGCATTGCAGCATGAATAAATTATGCGGTTATAGGATTTTTGTTCACCGTTATTGAGGTTTGTGTGTCAAGTGTTGAGGTACAAGCTTCTGAAACTGAAAATAAATCCCAGATATCTTTGCTTTGTTGTGCCTTCTGAAACCTGAAACTAGAGCCCTATAAAGCTACCAAAATATATCAATGTATTGTGAATAAGAAATCTGCAGTTGCCTTGATGAATTTATTGGCTGAATGTGCTTTTTTATGAACAGTTCCTTTATAACAGAATGAAACCGTGTCAGAGTTTGGACTAGATATTCTCACAGATCTAAAGGTCAAAGTACCACAACTAGCAACACTGTCAAGTTATATTCATTTAAATGTTTTAGTAATACAATAGAGAACAGAATACTGCATCTCCCAATGCAATGAAGCATGTCATGCAAAATTACACGTGATATAACAATATGAAGACTATAGTTTATTTTATTTTATTTAAACAATGTGAATGTATGAACTGTGAATGATAAGATCAGGAAGGTAAATTAAGAAAGGAAATACAGTCAATTTGGATTTCATTTTGACTATAAATAAATGTCTCGGGTTCAGTGCGACGTGTCAATTTCTCTGTCGATTTCCACCAAAAAATCTTGCAGTTTAAAAAAAATAAAAAAAATATATTGTATATATATATATATATATATATATTAAAAAAATCTATATTTTATAAAAAGTAATTTATATAATGTAAAATAATCATATAAAATATAATTTAAATAAAATGAAAATTTGGCTATTAAATAAATTATATATTTAATGTGGCACCATAATGTAATGTATTATGTGACCGCAAAATAGCAAATAGTAGCAAATAATAAATGTTTACACTGAAATCTTACACATAGTATTTAAAAGACCTTATACTGCGGGGCTGTTGAACGCTTGAATCTGATTGGTTGACGAAGGTGTGCAATTATCTTCACGGCTAAAGTAGTCCAGGCAGGTTTTGACCGCATTACAGCTCGATATCACTGCGCCAAATGAGTTATTTCAAAGGTCTTTACAGCCGACGACAGCAAAAGAGCCAAAACCCACGACAACACTGACCAAGCAAATACATATCGGATAAAAACAACACATTATTACCATGTTTTGCCACAAAATTATGTTTTATTATGTGTAGAAAGCACATAGTCTCTTTCTCCCGCGCTCAAACACACTCACATACAGTACAGACACACACTCACACACTCTTGTACATCTATCTTTATGAGGACATTCATTGACACAATGCAATCTCTAGCCGCTTACCCTAACCTTAGTCATCATCACAACTAAGTGCTTAACCCGAACCCTTACCCTAAACCTACCCTTAACCTAATTATAACCTTATCCCTAAAACCAAGTCTTGACCCTCAAACAGGCCTTTAAAGGGGTCTCAGAAAGTGAGGACCGGCCAAAATGTCCTCACTTTACTCTCTTTGTCCTCACTCCAATGGTCTAAAACTCAAACTGGTCCTCACAAAGATAGTTGTACAAGTACACTCTCACACACACACACACACACACACACACACACACACACACACACACACACACACACACACACACACACACACACACACACACACACACATTGGTTAAAGTGGGATTTGGCAGGTGGGGGAACCCTCAAATTTTGTGTAGGTGCAACAGGAAAAAAAGCCTCACCGTGGGACAACATATTGAGTATCGTGGTATAGCAATACTTTTTGGGACAAGAGAGTATCACTGTGGCATCAACTATCACAATACTTATTTACTTGATATTGTAATGGTTTTATTTTGGTCCATCTACACTGATATGATGACGATACTATGTTAAAATTGCTAAACACCTGGACAAAAATTGAGCCCTGGCCACACCAGCCCACAGACATGTGCATTTAAATGTGAGGAAAATTTTGATTTCTCTGACCTACATATGCGCAATTTAAGACTTTTGTAGAAAGTAAACATAGCCTCATTTATAAGTTTTATGAATCATTTTCTTAGATAAGTTAATTTACTCAAGGCTACCAGGTCAGTACTGCCACCTTCTACAAGCTTTGGAATTTGAAAAGTAATTTTAAATAATACAAATTATAGGCTACGTTTAACGCCCCTTAGGCATCATGCGTTGTGGAGACACGTCAAGGCATTCTCAGGTATAAATATGCAGCATTAATGTACATAGGTGATTTTGAACGAATATTTAATGTCGATATACAATGGTTACATAATGTTAAAACTAATCCTGCTATTGATATCTTTGTAAGAGCCTATAGAACAGTGGCAAGGGACAACAAATGTCCGAACCTAAAACTAACTTTAGCGCGCTCAACCACCGTGAGTGCATTTCACACATTTGTAATCGCTCGCGTTCAGCGGGGAGGTCGGTCGGCCCAGCTCGGGACCAGTGAGATTCGTTGAGATTAATGAATCTATTTATTTATTAATTTATCTGAGGTGCCAGACGCAGTTCTGGACCGTTCCGGCCCACTTTAACCTCTCCAGACACACACTCCCACAGAAACGTGTTGTCAGCGCTCCTCTGATGATTTTATCAGTAATATAGTTTAGCAACATAAAAGCTACAAGACATTTCTCACTAGCGTGGAAATAACAGCGCTGTTTTTGAAGCAGATAAACTTACAGTTTCATTATTAGAGACACTGCCGAACACTGAGAGACACACAGACTCAGGTAATTCACACACGCTAAATCTCTCTCTCTCTCTCTCTCTCTCTCTAATAACTGCATTAATCTGCTATCAATGTCTCAATCCTCCTTTACAAGCTCTAAAATGACGTTTTGGAATTAGCAACGGAGGCCTGGGATGAGATGCGTAAGAAATTAGTCCACAAGAGCGTTTTAAGGACAACAATCTGACAAATGTCTTGAAATACATCATCTGAACTAGAGGTCTTCACGGGTCCACTTGAATCCGAAAACCCGAGGTCCGACCCGAGACCAGAGCAGCAAAAAACAAAGTCACATGAGACACAGACATATTTTAACCGTATAAATACTGGGAACTACATTCTCAGAGGGCGAAGCACTGCTACTTGGGCGGAGTGATAACCGCAGCACCTGAGACGCGCCGTGGTGAGGAGCAGAGAGCACGTCTCAGGTGCTGCGGTTATCACTCCGCCCAAGTAGCAGTGCTTCGCCTTCAGAGAATATAGTTCCCAGTATTTATACGGTTAAAAGATGTCTGTGTCTCATGTGACTTTGTTTTTTGTACACTCTGTGACTATACAAATCACAACATGTAAATAGGAAAATGTTTGCGTTATTTTGTCACTTATTTGGATTAGTATGCTAGCTGCAACCATTTACATCCAGTCTTTGTGCTAAGCTAGGCTAGCGGTGGGTGCGTCAAACAGACTTATAGCACGCACGGAGATGAAAAAGGTATGTATGGACTTATCTAACTCTGGGGGATAAGGTGAATAGGCTAAAGTCCCAAAAAGTCGGAGTGTTCCTTTAATAACAGTAAGCTGTACACAACAGTACATTAGTAGCTAAAGTTTTTAAACAAATTAGCATTTTTACTGCAACCAAGATGTTTGTAGCTAATAGATGCATTTGTCATAAACCAGTTGGATTTATAAAACTTAGCTTGAGACAACAAGACATTAAAAAGGGTTGCAGACATTTAGCTTTATAATATGAAGTGTTCACAGACAGTCGGGAGAGAGCTATATTAAGATTATAAATTAATAAAACAAAACACAGTTAGACGATACCATCAATAAAAAACACATCAAACAGACAGTAGGATGTACGTGTAATTATGTGAAGTGTGTGTAAAATTGTATTATGTGTATATATCTCTATTAAAAGTTTCTTAATATACAGGTGAAACTCAAAAACGTAGAATATTAAGTTCATGTATTTCAGTAATTCTAATTAATAGGTGAAACTAATATATTTAGTAAATATATATATGCATGATTATATTTTTCAGAGGGCCGACATTTCCGTATTTAAAATCCTTTTTTTAATTGATTTCATGCAGTATTCTAAATTTCTGAGATTTTGAATTTGGGGTTTTCATAAGCTGTACGACATAATCATCAAAATCATAACTTTTGCACGATATTCAAAGTTTTCGAGTTTCACCTGTAGATCTCTCTCCTGACTGTCTGTGAACACTTCATATTATAGTTATTATATATTCATATTATAAGAGATATACGCACGACACAATTTTACACACACTTCACATAATTACACGTACATCCTACTGTCTGTTTTGTATTGATGGTCTCGTCTAACTGTGTTTTGTATCATGTTCTGCTTTAATAAAATAAAAAATGTTTGTTAGCTTGAGACAACATGGCGTTTAAAAGGGCGTTTATCTTCATATATGCCGAGTTCACAGACAGCTCTCAGAAGTCCCCGTTCACGCTCTTGACCTCTCGACCTCTGCTTTGTCCGTTGGTCTTGCGCTACGGTGAGATAAAAGCTTCAGCAAATGCGTTTTCGTCGGCACTCGGATTAAGGAGCTGTTTGGAATTCCTAACGCGACATTCCTCCTTTTTGGCCCGTCTTCCCCTCCCTTCTTCTCTCTTACACATTCTCCCCGGCACTCCCACGTTCTCCAGTGCTTCTCCGTCTTTTCTCCAGTGAGTTATCAGCGATGCTGTGCATTATAATGCGCTGTGGCTTCACCTCTGCTCTTCAGCGCGGGTGA